TCCGGTGGTGCCAGGAGGCCGCAGCTCGTTCAAGTGGTCCTTACAGGGTTGGGGCAAGTCTGTGTGCCTGAGCAGTGTCTCACACTGTCCTCTCTGTCCCCCAACAGCAACAGCTTTACGTGTCCTCAGCTGTAGGGGTGACCCACTTGGCCCTTCACCGGTGTGATGTTTATGGGGAAGCCTGTGCCGACTGCTGCTTGGCCCGGGACCCCTACTGCGCCTGGGACGGCAAGGCTTGCAGCCGCTACTCAGCATCCTCCAAGAGGTACAGGAGGCCAGAGGCAGGTGGCAGGGAGGGACCCCGGGCTATGGGAAACCCCGTGGAGGTTCCCCAGGTCATCTCCTGCCTCCCCACAGGCGGAGCAGGCGGCAGGACATCCGGCATGGCAACCCCATCCGCCAGTGCCGAGGCTATAACTCTAATGGTGAGTGGGTGCCATAGGGCTGTGGTGAAGGCAGAAGGAGCACTTGAGGGGGCAGGGCATGGGGATCCAGGGAAGGGAGAGTGCTGTAGTTATACTGAGGGCAGGAGACAGGAGAATGTGGACAACAGCCATTATGGGGTGAGGGATGGCTGGATATACTTGGTGGATGCATGTTGATGCATTGGAGGAYGCTAGGAACGTTTTGATGGATATGTAGGAGGATGGTTAGCATGGAGAGATGGAGGGATGTTGCAACTGGGGAGAAGGCTGAACACATTTGTATGGATGGTTGGATACCTGAAGAAGGGTGAGCAAAGTTAGATAGATACGCTTGGTAGATGGATGGATACAGATGATGGTGCACAGATCAAAGGAGGATGGATCAAAAGATCAAAACATGAATGGGTGAATGGATTGATGGAAGGATGGATTCATTAGGGAGGATTTTGAGCACATGTAGAGGGATGGATGCATTTGGAGTAGACACATCAGAGAAGGATGAACATGGATAGGTGGATGGATACACTTGAAGAGGGTGAACACAGTTGGAAGACATTTACTGGAAGGACAGATACACTGTGGGAGGAAGAACAGTTTCGGGGTGGATCAAGAGCCATTGTATCCATGGCTGGGTTTGCACAGGGTATGTGGGGTGAGGTCCTGGGGGGACAGGGTATGTGGGATGAGGTCCTGCCACTCTCCCTCGAGGAGGCTGGTTGAGGGCATGGACACACATGTACTGACCCGGCCACCTGCATCTGCCCCTACAGCCAACAAGAATGCGGTAGAGGCTGTGCAGTATGGGGTGGAGGGCAGCACGGCCTTCCTTGAGTGCCAGCCTCGTTCCCCTCAGGCCAGCATCAAGTGGCTGCTGCAGAAGGACAACAGTGACCGTCGGAAAGAGGTAGGAAGGGGTGCTGGGCAGTGCCCTGCCCTGGCTGCTGGGGGCTCAGGCCCTGCGGCAGCCAGATGAGCCTCCACTCGCTCTCCTCACAGCTCCGCRTCGAGGGCCGGGTGCTGCGGACGGAGCAGGGCTTGCTGCTGCGCTCCCTGCAGCTCTCTGACAGCGGCCTCTACTCCTGCACTGCCACCGAGAACAACTTCAAGCACATGGTGACGAAGGTGCAGCTCCGTGTGCTCAGCAGCCGCACCGTGCACGCCGTGCTCTTCCAGGCAGAGGTGCCCCCCGGCCTCCCACCCGCTGCTGCGGGTGCTGCGGCCACCGGGCTGCCCGGCGCCGCTGCTCCCCGCTACCAGGACCTGCTGCAGCTCCTCACGCAGCCTGAAGTGGGACTCCTCGACCAGTATTGCCAGGGTTACTGGCGACACAYGGCCGCCAGCTCCCAGGAACCACTGGCTGGCCTCAAAGCCAAGGAGCAGCAGGACCAGAAGAAGCCTCGAAACCGCCGGAATCACCAGCCAGAGACCTATGCGCATACATGAAACCATCGGCAGGGACTTTGATAGCACAATGGTCTATTTTTCCCCCTTTTAATATTAAAAATATCTATAAATATATATATATATCTGCGCGCGCACACACACACACACACACACAAGCATACAGGCTTCCCACCTCCCTTGGAAGACAGTATTTATTTGTAGGGTGTACATAGTCACTGGCACGACATGACCATTGCCTTCCTGCCCCAGGAGAGAGCAAAGGGCACCGCCAGCATTTCCTTGYGCACTCTCCAAGAGCCCTTCGTGATATGGTGAGACACTGGTGTGCGGGGTCTGGTTTGGTGGCCCACGTGTCGACACGCTGCTGGGCATGGTAGCCCTGCCCTCAGAGCTGTAGGTGTCTGGTGGGATACAGCCCAGGTTTGGGGACATTTTCACCAGTTCGGAGGGGTGTTGGGACAGAGGCAATGGTTCCTGTGAGGGTGCTCTGTGCCCTTCTAACCTGAGTAGCCTGGCTCAGCCATGTGACAAGGGGAGAGAAGGAGGTGGAGACGGTCTGCCCCACTGCCCTGGTCATGTTTGCTGTCTCTTTCAGCCTCAGTTTCCCCACCTGGTCATTAAAGACCAAGCGTTTTCTCCTGGGAAACTACAAATGGGCAAGCCAAGCCTCAGAGATGGGGCGGTGGGGGGTTCTATGRATGAGCATCATGTGAGGTGCTATGTCCCACCAGGCCACAGCTTAGATTTCCTGCCTGCTGAAATGCACCTGTGGTTGGGCATATAAACCAAGTGAGATTGGTCTCCAAAGGAGACCTTGTACCCCAGAGACCTGCTCAGGGAGGCTGGACCCAGGTGTGCGGGCAGCAGGAAGGGCTTAGTCAAGACTGTGCTCTGTGCAGGTTCAGGAAGGAGAAGAGGCTGCACCCGGGCCAACTCAATGTGCTAGACCTGGTAGATTGGGCGGGGTGCCCACAGGTGCAGGCTCCATGGGTACCTTGCCCRTTACCTGCTGCCTTGGGGCTCCCAGGAAGGGACATGGGCGCACTGCATTGTAAATAGCTGTACACGGGAAGCGTAGGGGTGCCCGGGACCTGTGCCACCCCCCACTGCGACCGGGAGTGTGTTGAAATAAACACTGGCTTTGGGACAGACACGGGCGCCTGCGTGTGCTCTGTGCAGGATGGGGACAGCGCGGAGCGGGRAGGCTTGAGGCCATCATCTCCTGTGCTGTGCCAGGCCCTCAGGAACCTCACATGATCCCTTCAGCTCTGCCCCTCTTGCCCTGAGCTGCGCAGCAAGGCAGGGCTGAAACCRCTGCCCCCAGAGCAGGGTACTGAGTTGCACCGAGTTGCGGGTACCAGGCATGGGATGGAGACAGACTCCATCAGGAGAGGGTCGCCTTCCCCAGGAGAAGAGGGACGCACCTGGGGGGGGGGGGGTCACAAGGGGAGGGGATGCAGAGTGCACTGGGCATTACTGAGGGCACTTGTAGGGTCCTACTGGGGGCCCTGGAGGGCTGTCCTGGGGATACTAGGAGTGAAAGGGGCAGCACAGGGCTGTACTGGAGGCACTTGGGGGTCCCTGGAGCACTGAGGGGTGGCACTGGGCCCTACCATGAACAGTAGGATGTACTAGAGGCTGCATTAGCGGCACTGGGCAACATGGGAGCACCTGGGGTCATCCCTGGGCAGTACTGGGAGCACTGAGCAGGTGGCTCTGGCTGGTACAGGGGAAAAGATGAGGAGGGGGACTGATCCTGGCAAGTAGTGGAGGTGCTGAGGGCAGAGCGCTGGGTGTCCTGGAGACACTGGGATGTCCTGGCAGCACTGGGCACTGCTGCGGGCGGTGAAGAGTCCTGGGACACACTGGGATGTGCGGGCAGCTGGGAGCAATGGGGTTTGCGGGGGACACGGCGAGGTGCTGGAGTCACCTTGTGGCTGCTCTTGGCAATGCAGGGAGGGGACATTGCTGGGGGGCACTGAGCAGAGAGAATGCGCGTCCCTGGGGACACTGTTACTGCTGGGGTTAATGGAGGCTCTGCTTTGGGTAGCGATCTCAGGGCTTGGCATGGGCTTCGTGGAGGAGGGAGGGATGTCCCATGGCGTTTAGAGGAATTGGGGGGGACATGAAATCTAGGAGAGGGTACTGAAGTTTCCTGGGGGCAGTGGTGATGATGCACTGGGGCCCATGGGGTTGGTAAATAGGTGGGTGGCAGCTTATGGCCACTGGAAGGGTGCAAGGGGTGGAGGGCATTGGGGGCATCTGGAAGTGCCCGTGGGGACATGGTGTGGGAAGATGTTAGGGGAGGGATGGGGAGTTTGGAGAGGGTCCTGGAGGTGGAGGGTCTGGGCACAGCCAGGAGGTATTGGAGGGGCTTGAAGTCATGGGGACGGTGCTGGTACCTGCTGGGGAACATGGGGTGGGAGGTTCATGGGGACACTGGTGGGGGGTCTGGGGTTCCCCTGCGGACTTTGGGTTGGTGGTTCCTGGTGGTGCTTGTGAACACTAGGGAAAGTTAGAGGGCAGAGGGTGGAGAGGATGGCAACACTGGGGAGGATACTTGAATGCTGCAAGTGCAGTAGTTAGTGAAAATGTGGAGTGGTGTGATCAGGATTTGCAGTGGGTCATAGTGGAGGATACTGGGGACATCCCCTGGGGACAGAGTGTGGGGGAGGGTTCCTGAGGTGGGACGGGCTTGGGGACAGTGGTCGCTGTGCATTACTTCCAGTCTGTGCTCTTTCCCACATCCTTCCTGCTCCCAGCTCAACATCCCCTGCCCAGAGAACCCCAAATAACTCCAGAGCCAGAGCCGATGCCCCATCCTTACAGGTCAGCCCAGCTCCCTGACAGGCCAGCAAAATCCACCCCCCACACATTTCCCCCCTCCCCGATACGGGATCTGAAGCGCTGACAYGGCGCCGCGGGGACCGTGGGGACGTGCTGAGCTCAGCCCTCGGCAGATTTCAAGGGGTTTATCTGGGCCCGGATTTAAGCAGTGGGTGCTGAGCGCAGCACCTCCGCCCGGCCTTGGTCCCGTCCTTGGCCCACATTGGGCGGATGGCAGCACCCATCTGCCATGGGCAGGCTCAATCCGCCTCTCCCCCTCCGTTGGGGGCAGTCTAGTGGCGGGGCAGCCCCACAGCAGCACGGGCGGGAGCAGCGAGCCCAGCGCTGGAGGCGGCCGGGGGCTGGAACACGCTGCCCATCCTGGTGCTGACCTCCAAGGAGCGGGTGAGCCGCCGGGCTGCCAGGCCGAGGATGGGCGCCGGAGCCAGCGCTGAGGAGAAGCACTCCCGGGAGCTTGAGAAGAAGCTCAAGGAAGATGCGGAGAAGGATGCGAGGACCGTCAAGCTGCTGCTGCTGGGTATGAACAGGGAGCGGGGGGTAAGGGCAGCCTGCCCAGGGTCTCTGGATTCACCCATCCCACCTGCTCTCCAAYCCCAAGCTGCCCCCTGACATCCTGCCCACCAGCCCACTCAACAGCTCCTCCCTTCTTAGACATCCCCAAAGCCAACGTACACGACCCCAACAYCTGCTTGCTTCCAGACATCTCCCAAAACCAACAGCGCACCCAACCCCTCCCTAAACCCATGCATCCCTTTTCAAGAGCCTAACCATTCCCCTTAGTCCCAGGCACCTCCAAACTCAATTAACTCACCTCAACATTCCACGGAATCAGACCACCCCAACTCCCGCTTCAAGACACACTCAAGYCCAGCAATCCCATCTCAGCTGCCTCCTCAATCCTAGCTCACCATCAGTCATCCATCTGAACATCCCATCCAAACAAGTCCTCCTCAGAATCCAGTCATCCCTTCTCAAGAGCCCATCTTAGCTTCTACTCTACTACTCACTCATAAATCCACTATCAGCCCACCCTGACATCCCACCCCAATCCATCATCCTGATAGCCCACTGCTAACCAAATCATCCCTTCTCATGAGYCCTCCCCACTTCCAGACACTCCCAACTCAAACAACCCCCTCYAAAAGACCACCCCAACACCCTGGCACCCTCCTAAAATCTCCCAGACCCTGCCATTCTACCTGTATCCCACCCTGCCAGCATACCACCTCACGCAACAGCTCCGAGTACCTCTTGCTCCCTGRGTCTCCCCAGATCCAGCCAGCCCAGCTCTCCATGCTCACGCCCTGCCAACCTATTGACCCACCCTGGGGTCCATTCTCCTTCCTTACCAACATTATGGGCCTCTCTCAGCCCCACAGAGCTCCCCCTCTGTCCTRGAGGTGCAGGGTGCCAGTGCTTGGTGCTGCCTTGGACATTACCTGGGCACAGGCCTCATTGCTGCTCTCATGTTGTAAACCAGCCTATGTCCCACTAGTCCTGCAATAGGTTTGGGAGACCTGGCTATAGGTGGTTGGGTTCAGCAATGCCACCATGTCTCCATCCTCTTCCCAGAACTGCAGAACATGTCCCTGGCTTATCCCATTATCCACAGCCATGGTCTGCAGCAGCTCAGCCCAACCCTAATGCCTGTGCCATAATCCTCATGTCATGCATATGGCCTGGCGTCCTACAATCTCCTCCATAGCCGTAGGGTGATCCTCTCCACCCTTCACTGCTGAGGCACTGAGCCCAACCATTTGCCTGCACACTCTAAAGACCCCAAAGATCTGCCTCAGCTGTACTATAGTCCTGGGACCTGAGGGAGCTGGTCTAGGGCATAATGAGGGATGTCCAGTGGGCATCGCCATGACCCATGCTTTGTCTCTACAGGAGCAGGGGAGTCAGGAAAGAGCACCATCGTCAAGCAGATGAAGTGAGTGCCCCTTATCCTGAGCCCATGATGCTCCATGGCTCCCTGGACAGGCACAAAACACTCTCAGGACACCCCATCCTGCCACCATTTCCCAGATGGGTATATGCCCACTCCAGAGCAGTGCCTGGGTGGTCAACGGTGCAGCTTGGCCATTGCCCACATGAGCCTGCCCTATACTACACTAAGAAATGCCCTCATCGTGTGGTGTCTGGCGCAGCCTCAGCGCAATGTCATGGAGTGCTTCACCCCATGGTGCCCAAAACAGCATCATCCCACAGCCACGGGTGTCCCTGTCCCATGGTGTTCCCATCCCACAGTGCCTAGTGCAGCCCTACAGTGTCCAGCTTGGCTCAGCCATGTCCAGCTCCAGCATCCAGCAACCACAGGCACCACCACCCTACGGGTGCCCCCCATCTTGTGGTGCCCAGCTCAGCCCCATGCCCTCCTTTCYGGCCAGAATTATCCACCAGGATGGTTACTCACTGGAGGAGTGCCTGGAGTTCATCGCCATCATCTACAGCAACACACTGCAGTCCATGCTGGCTATTGTGCGGGCCATGTCCACACTCAACATACAATATGGTGATTCGGCCCGCCAGGTGAGGGTTGTTTGATGCTGGACACGGTGTTCCCTGCAGCGTCGGTCACCCGCAGCCACACTGAAAACTGCTCCCTCACAGGATGATGCCCGCAAGCTGCTRCACCTCTCAGACACCATCGAGGAGGGCACAATGCCCAAAGAGATGTCAGATATCATTGGACGGCTCTGGAAGGATACCGGCATCCAAGCCTGCTTTGATCGCGCCTCTGAGTACCAGCTCAATGACTCAGCTGGCTAGTAGGTGCCATCAGGGGCAAGGAACAGGTGGAGGGAGGTGGAGCCAGGCCAGGTGGGCTGGAGACACTGCTCAGTGCTGTGGGTGGGGGTGTGTTGAGATCACCAGTCACTTCTCCTGTGTGTTGTGTGCCTGGCCAGCTACCTGTCAGACCTGGAGCGTCTGGTGACCCCGGGCTACGTCCCCACGGAGCAGGATGTGCTGCGCTCCCGGGTCAAAACCACGGGTATTATCGAGACCCAGTTCTCCTTCAAAGACCTCAACTTCAGGTAGGGACTCAGCCTTGGTGCAGGCAGGAAAAGGGCTCTGGCATGGCTGGGTGGGTTCCACATCGCCCTCCACTGGGGATGGAGCACAAAAGTGGCGGATGTTGATGCTCATCTACCCTGTCCAGGATGTTCGATGTGGGAGGCCAGCGTTCCGAGCGGAAGAAGTGGATCCACTGCTTTGAGGGGGTAACCTGCATCATCTTTATTGCGGCCCTCAGCGCCTACGACATGGTCCTGGTGGAAGATGATGAAGTGGTGAGGGCAGATGCAGTGCAGAGTGGCTGTGCTGGGCAAGTGGRGGATGCATGTCCCCTCCACCCCTGTCCTGACATCAGGGCTGCAGTGGGGCTCACAGAGCTGTGTCTCTTCCCAGAACCGCATGCATGAGAGCCTGCACCTCTTCAACAGCATCTGCAACCACCGTTACTTYGCCACAACCTCCATTGTTCTCTTCCTCAACAAGAAGGACGTCTTCCTGGAGAAGATCAAGAAGGCCCACCTCAGCATCTGCTTCCCTGACTACGATGGTGAGGGCCTTGCTGGCTCAGCCACTGGGTGAAGGCTGGTAGGGGAGGGGAAAGCTTTGGGGTGCCAGAAACCTTGGGCAGATCCCCACCAGGTGTCCTCAGCAGCCCATGACAGTGGTAACAGTGCAAGGTTGATGTGGGCCCTGGGTGGTTAGTCCAACACCCAGTGCCTCACAGGGGCATGGCCTGGTGGGAGGGGGCTGTGAGGCCACAGAGTGATTGGGTGGTGGGCACCGGGCCCCGCTTATCACTGTCCTGCCAGGCCCCAACACCTATGAGGACGCAGGCAACTACATCAAGCTGCAGTTCCTGGAGCTGAACATGCGGCGGGAYGTCAAGGAGATCTACTCCCACATGACCTGCGCCACTGATACCGAGAACGTTAAATTCGTGTTCGACGCTGTCACCGACATCATCATCAAGGAGAACCTCAAGGACTGTGGCCTCTTCTGAGCTCYGGTCCCAGTGCTTCCCTCCCTGGCCCAGGTCCACCTCCTCCCTTGGGCTCCCCGCTTGTCCCCAGTTACCTCCACTTGCCCACAAACCCCAGCAAAGAGTCCTTTGACCCCAGAGTCACTCCTAGGCTCAGTCCCACACCCTGTCCATGGGTGCCATTGGGTGCTGTCAGTGGTTGTCCTTCAATCTACTCGTGGGTGCTGGAGCTATGTGGGTGCCCCTGGGTCTTGTGTGCTGTGGGGCATGGGATGGCTGGGTGCTAGGAGCTGAGTATCTCTGGGTGACCTCGGGTGCCACAGGGTGCCCCTGGGTCCTTGGTGCCACATGTGTGGCAATGTTGGGGTATTCCTGGGTAAGTTTGTCCCTAGGGGACCTCGGGTGTCACAGGGTACCAAGGTCCATGGCTGCCCTGAGCCCCCGCGCCCGCCTGAGGGTTGTGGAGCCACCCACGGTGAGCGCTGGGCACAGGATGGCAGTGCCAGGTTCCTGAGCGGACCCTCACCCAACACCACCCCAGAGGTCCCTGCCCCTCCATGCGCAGCTCCCATCACTGCTTCCAATCCCACCCCATGGCTGCTGGAGGGACCCGCAGGTGAAGCTACCTTCAGTGCCCCCACATCCCTTGGCGCCCACCAGCCCCCACCCACCCCCTTGACACAGGTGAGCAGCCATATGCCAACTTCCACGTTGGCTTTTTGGTCTTTTTTTGTTGATTTTTTTTTTCCTTTCTACATTTTATTATTTCAAACCATGTGAACAATTTGGTAAAACATCCCGTGGTAAAAGCGAGGCCGCAGCCACTGGTTCACGAGGAGCCCCCGCGCTCCAGCCGGGGGCAGAGCCGGCAGGCTGCGTGGGGGGAAWAGTCTGGGGAGGGGGGACACAGGGGCCGCTTTGTACAGCATGGGTTCCTCGACCAACGCAACAGTTAGACCTACAAAATAAAACTAGGCTTAGAAAGAGAGAGGCGTCGGCAGGGCGCCCTGGGGCCCGGCTGCGCTGCAGGGAGGCATGGGCGCGCGTCGCCCCTGCAGCCCGTCCCGCCGGGCGCGGGGGCGGCAGCTCTGCCGCGCGCCCCCCACGACACGCGCGAGCGGAGCCGAGGGCTGCCCTCCGAGAAGCCCCTTGCAAAGGCACACGATGTTGATGGCCGTTTTTCTCACTGCAGCAGAAGGATGCGCGGAGACCAGGCGACCAACTTTAGCGCTCGACGCTTTTAAATAGTTTCTTAAAAAGGTTTCTTTAAAAAGCAATGTAAACCAAGCTCTTTTTTCCTTGTTTTTTTGCACGCGCAGGTGTGTGTGTGTGTTTTCTTTTTTTTTTCTCAAAGGAATGTTTCTCGGGTGTGTTTGCTGGGGTGGGGGGACGTGCTTTCCGCGCTGGTCTCTGCAACGCCAGGAAAGCCGGGACCTCTGCGTCCCCTCCGCTCCCGCCTCCCTCCGAGAGCAACAGTTTGAATGTAAACAGCGAGAGAGTGATTTCTTGGAAATGGATTTAAAAAAAAAAAAAAAGAAAAAAGAAAAAAAAGGAGGGTTGGTTTGGAGCAATCTCGACCAGTTAAAACCGAAGATTAAAACCTCATTCTTTCCCAAGCTGCTGGAGCTGAGAGAGGAAGCGAGAGCGGAGCCCACGGGTGCAGGCCGCAGCCGCGGGGCTCGCGGCGGCAGGGGATGAAGGGGACGGCGCAGGCTGGGCCGGGAGGTGGCACTGAGCGCGACCTGCCACCCCGAACATAACCAAAGTCTCTTTACAGCGTTGGGAAGGGAGCGGGGGGGGAAGAAACCAAAAGAAGAGAAGCAGAAGTTGTTATGTGGCGCGGTCCTTCCTTCACTGGCCATGGCACTCCTGGCGGGACAGGCACGTCCGGGCACCCTAGGAGAGAGATGCTCGTGAGTGGGAGGCAGTCCAGCTTAGSGGGGCAATGACAGGCCATGGTTTTGGGGCCGGGCACCCGCAGCCAGCGGCGCCGGGATGGGGAAAGCAGGTGGCTCCCGCCTGGACCAGGCAGGTCCCATCAGCGTCAGGGGCACCTGCACCACACAGGGCGCTGGTCGTGAGGGATGTTCCCTCCCAGAGGGCACCACCAGGCTGTGGCACCCATGGGCACCCTTCTCCCACCTGGCCGCCTGGCGCCGCTCGCCCTCAGAAGAGCCCGCAGTCCTTCAGGTTGTTTTTGATGATGACATCAGTGACGGCATCAAAGACGAACTGCACGTTCTTGGTGTCGGTGGCGCAGGTGAAGTGCGTGTAGATCTCCTTCGTGTCCTTCCGCTTGTTGAGGTCCTCAAACTTGCTCTGGATGTAGCTGGCAGCCTCATCATACTTGTTGGCCCCTGCAGAGGAGAACAGGTTGAACCACCAGCAGCACTGGACCAAGGGGCTACCCAAATTAACCCCAAGTCACCCAGGGCTGGGGCTGGCAAAGAGCACCAACCAGAGCGGCTGCACTTCAGCACAGCAGAAACTGTGCAACTGAATTAAAGCTGCTCCACCTCTGGGCAGGCAGCCCCAAGGCAATTTAGTAACATTTAAGAGACTCATTGCCCTCATTAATTCAGAACCGTCTTTCTAATTCCCCAGGAGCCCACGTGAATCCTGTGTCACACGGCAAACCAGGAACCCAGCCTGCAACATGGCATCGCTCAGGCTCCAGGCAGCTTAGGAAGGGCTACAGGGGCGGGCAGCAGGTCCYGGCTGGCTCCAAGGGACCTGGGCAGCATTGCAGGTCATGGGGGACAGGTGGCCCCTGCATCGCCCAGTCCCCAGTGACCCTGAGGTTCCTGCAAGCTCTGGTTTGGGAACAGGTTCCTGCTCACTCAACAAGCCTGTGTCTAAGCTGTTCCCCAGGGCCTCCCACCTGCAGGTCTCATCACTTCCATCTGCCCTTCAAAGCCACTTTTTCTAAGTCTCTTATCATTTTTATTGCTTTCCTCTGGGCTTCCCCTGGTTTCATCATCCACACGTTGCTCTGAGTATGGACACAGGTCCAGCTGCAGCCTTCCCACATAATACACCTCAGAGAAAGCCCTCTAGCATCGCTCCAGGCCTGGCACCTCCACTCCTTTCTGTTCCCATCCAAATCAAGGTTCCCCTGTCCCAGTGCCTGATCTGATGCATGTCCACCACCTCCAAAGCCTGCGAACGGCTGGGGGCTTCCTTGCCGCTCACACAATGCTGCTCTGGCCGTGGCCCAGCACTGGCTCCAAACCAGGCTGGACCCAGTCCTCCTGCTCTGGAGCCATCTAGTCAGCCTAGAGCTGGAAGAAGCCTTGGGATTTGCTGCCCTACGTTCTTCTTGGGCAAGGAGGCCTCGCAGCTACCTGTGCTCCCAACCTAGCATTCCTGGGGCCTAGTGACTCTTCCCCTCCTAGGTGGCTCAGGCCTAGCGATGGAGGGGCCACCATGGTACCTGAGTACTCCGGGAAGCAGATGGTCAGGGGGCTGTGTACGATTTTCTCCTCAAAGAGGTCTTTCTTGTTGAGGAAGAGGATGATGGATGTGTCTGTGAACCACTTGTTGTTGCAGATGCTGTCAAAGAGCTTCATGCTCTCATGCATGCGGTTCTGGCGGGAGAGAAGGCAGTGGCATCATGTGAGCTACCAAGAGGTCCACGCAGGTGACCCAATGGGCCACCAGCCCCATACCTCCCACCTGCACTCCTAGCAGGAGGGATCCCAGTGCCAGATTGGCCATTGCCTTTAGACTAGATGGAGCCACCTCAGGCCAGCTGGTCTGCGAAGCAGGTTTCTCCACTGCCGGCCTGGGGCAAGGGTCTCCAGCATCAGAAAGCACAGGATGATGGAGAGGGTTGCCTAAAAAGATGAGTGCTAGCAAGGGAGCAGCCATTCCAGCTGCAGTGCCTGACAACCRTAAGGGTCCAGCGGGTGCTTTAGGCACTACTGGTAGAAACCAGCCCCCAGCCCATGGAGAAAGAGGARAGCAGCATGTCGCCCTCCTCCTTCAGGCCATCACCCAGGTGTGGACAGGCCGTGGTGGCCCACAGGAGCCCCAAGGCATGGTGGCCCCTGCAGCAAGCCTGCSTCTTCCCTCTCCACTCACCATTTCCTCATCTTCGGCCAGCACCAGGTCGTAGGCGCTGAGGGCCACGCAGAAGATGATGGCCGTCACCCCCTCGAAGCAGTGGATCCACTTCTTTCGCTCTGACCGCTGGCCGCCCACGTCGAACATCCTGCAGGACAGAGGAAACGTCATGGCAGGGCCCAGAGCTCAGCAGTCCCAGGCCTGGAGCAGGGGCAGCAGAGGAGGCCCTGGCTCCACCGTAGCAGCACAGTGTCCTCCGAAGCATCGTCCTTTCCAATTCCCGTCCTCCTCACCAAGCAAAGGACAGTGCAGCACACTGCAAGAGCCAGATACCACCGCAGTGCCAAGAGCTGGGCCCACACTTGGGACTGATGGGCAAGCAGGCACGTCCATCCACCTTGGATGGCCAGCTCTGCTTTGGGACACTGGCAGGGTGGCAATGTGCCTGTGACCATCCCTCGGGCCCTGCAGCTTTCATGGCTGGCTCTGGACCAGTGTGGAGAAGCTGTAGGGCGGACTTGGCCAGGGCTCCTTGGGGATGGCGATGGGCGATTCTGCCCACAGCCTTGTTGCTGAGTGACTAATTCTCACCTGGAAGYAGAATGGGCTTTTGCCTTAGAAACCCTCTGTGCCTGAGCTGCAATGATTTACCACACGCTTTTGGTGTAAAATGACCTTGGTATGCAGGTTTCCATCGTGCAACTTAAGACAAGTGGTGGGGATCGGCTGGGGACTGGCTGTGACAACCGAGCGCCACTGGTCCGGGCAAAGGAGCAATGCTGTTGGGAGACTCCTCAAGCATGAATCCATCCGTTCCCGTRGCGTCCTGGCTCACACACTGAACCTTTCTGCTACGGATTCTCACTGCAGGAGTGAYGTCGTGGCACCCGTCTGTTCCAGCTCATTTTTCCGGGGCTGCCTGCCAAATGCTCCTACTCCACATCAGTCTATCTCCATCCCTCCTCTCCCCGCCAAGCTTGCAATAGACTGAGTCCTCCCACGAGGTTGAGCCACAAGAGCTCTTGAAGGTTTTTTTGAGAGCACTGCAGCTATTTCGGTGGATCTGCACCCTCCGGTCACAGCCACTTCCTATCCCTGAGGACATCTGGGAGTAGCTCCCATGAGCAACAAGAACATCAGTGGGCAGCTCCTCATCACCGGGGCCTCCCATTCAGTGGCCAAGCCCATCCTGCCTGCATTTAGTGGCCCTGAGAGCAAACCCAGGGGTGCTCAGCAATTGCACACCCCTGACACCAGCATTCGTAGCGCTGAGCACCCTGGCCAGGCTATCCCATGCCACAGCCGGAGTTAACCCCAGAGTCGGCGCGTTTCCCAGTTGCTTTTCCCCCTCTCCATCTCCCACTTCGTGGGCCAGGGGTGGTGTGAAGGGTCAGCAAGGCTGGTCTCAGTAATGATGTCCACAGCTGTAAACGCCTGCTTTGGAGGAAGAGGGTGACCAGCCCACCGACACACTTGTGCAGGGGGTGGAGGACTAYTGGGCAACCACCACATGCAGCCTGGACACGTCTTGCAATGGGAGGCAAGTGCTGACCCAGCCTGGGAGGCCAGGGAGGCCACCAAAGCACAGGACATCGCAGAGCAATGGGGGGCTTCACTCCAGGGAATCCTGGAGTATCCTGCTGCAGCCTCCATGCAAGGCAGAGCAGCGGGTCCAGTGCTGCCCTCATTCCTGGGCTCAGCACTGTCCTGGGTTTCRAGCGGCCTCGAGGCTACTGCACCAGCTCCCATGTGCAAATAGGATCTGAGAAAGATAAAAGAGGAGGATTTTTTGCCCAGCAGGAGCTGGGAAAGGGTCAGACTTACTTGAAATGCAGGTCCTTGAAGGTGAAATGAGTCTCGACAATGCCGGTGGTCTTCACCCTGGTTCGCAGCACATCCTGCTGCGTGGGGATGTAGTCAGCTCGCGCTATACGCTCCAGGTCATTCAGGTAGCTGGGCAGGGAGCAGAAGGGCACCTCATGAGCAGGGCTGGCTGCGGGGCCCAGGCCTGCCCGCGTCCCCAGGGTCACCCTGCAGCTCTGGGCTCCATGCAGACAGAGGGCACACGGGAGGGCAGGGCCACGGAGCGCAGAGAGGCAGAGCCCTTGGGACAAGTGCATGGCTCAGGGGACAGCACAGGTGGCGCAGGTGGCAGGCAAGAGCCCCTGGGCATAGGGAGGGGACACCTGAAACACGAGCTCAGCGCAGACACGGGGGGGCGCCAGGAGCACGGAGCTGAACCTAAGCGATGCCAGCGCAGGGTGCTCGAAAGCGGGGCCAGCCCAGGCTTGGGGCAGGACTCCGGGCCTCCCTTTGTCTGGCCAGGTCTTTTGTGGCCCGTTCCTGCACCCCATATGATGGGAGAAATGGAAAGAGGAAAGTATTCATTGCTATGGCAACCAACCGCAGAGCCAGTGGAAACAATTCATGGCGCGGGGCCATCTAGAGTCCAAAAAAAAAAAAGAAAAAGACAAAGTCCTTCATCCCCGGAGGAAGTGGGAGGTGCAAGGCAAGAGGGAAGGCAGCAGAGCAGGCACCCTGCGACCCCGCCAAGCGCCCCGTGCTCCCCTCAGCCGCCTTGTCCGCGTGGTGCCAAGACTGGCTCTGAAAGCAGCAAGCTAAGCATGGCCATGGAAGCATGGCCATGGGGTACGCGGGGCGCTGCCCCTGCCCAGGACATTGCTGCGGGGTTATATTGCTGCAGCACAAGGCGCTTTAATTAGGTTTCCATCAAGCGGCTTCTCTAAGAGAATTAGGTCCCCATTAATCGGCGTGGCTGCAGCCCTGTAATCTGGTGAGAGCTGCGCTAAGCTCACAGATGATCTGCGAGGCCAAAGGGAACGTCGGTGCCGAGGCTGGTGCCGAGGCCGGCGCTGCAGCGCCCGGCTGCACTGCGGGCCCGGCTGTGCTGCACGGAGCAGAGCGGAGCAGGACGACACTGAGCAGCACTGAGCAGCGCAGCCCGGGCCGCCCTGGCGAGCTCAACAACAACCGGAAATGTGTTCAGCCTCCAGATGACACCAGAGAGAAAAAAAAACCCCAAAAACAGGAAACAAATGCTCAAGAGGCCGGGCCAGAGCTGTGCACAGCAGCAGCAGCAGCCGCAGCAGCGCTGGAACTGCTACACCCAGCACCCTGCACGCCGCCCCTGCCAGCAGCAGCCGGGGCCACCTTCACTGGCACCGTCTCCAAGTCTGCCCTGGGGTGAGTGTCCTTCCTAAGGTGCCTCCTGCAACCTGGAGTTTTGCCCCCAAAGCGAGTAAGGCTTCAAAAGGCATCCCCCCCACACACCTCTTGCATCCCAAAGTTCTGCTCCGTAGAAGGGTCCCAGCAAAAGGCTGGCAACCTGGGGAGAGCAGGGTCTGCAGCCATTGCAGCCGTGCTGGGGAGGAGCAGGCTCAGGGCAGGGCAATGCAAGGGGCACCTGTTCCTTAGGGTGCGCTTTGCTCTGGGACGCCCTGGCCACGAGCACGCAGCCCAGCCACAGCCGCAACCCAGCTGTAAACCTCGCTAACCTCCTAGCTCCACAACAGCGGTGGAAGAGCCTCTTGGGCTCGCGGGCACGGGGGATTGGTGTCCTCTCTCGTGGCTGAAGGCACAGGACAGGCGGCTGCTGCCAAGCACAGACTGATGCACGCACTTCAACCGCAGCATCTTTGCCACCGGTGGAGACAACACCGGCATCTTCCTCATCCAACAACACAAGGCCACCAGCTCGGATGTCCTGCCAGCTCTGGTCAGCCTGGGGACACCTCTAGTCTTTAAGCTCACAAGGAACACATTCAACTAGGCTTGGAAACAGCCCAAGCTCTRGGCAGACAAGGGGCAAAGAGGAGGAGGTCTGGATCCCCCTGGAGATAGTGCACGCCGTAACAACCTCTTTATCATTCCCTATTTGGCGCCTTGCACAGAGGCAGAGTTTTTCCACCACRAGGTCCCAGCTGGGGGACAGCGAAGGCCGGCAGCGCTGTGCTCCGTGGCAGCTGGCTGCTGCTCCCTGGGGGCTGGGTTCGCATAAAGTGCTGCAGCAATCGCTCATTAGGATGAGTCAGAGAGGCCTGTTAATTAATACTTGTCCAACACTCCAAACATCCCCAATGATCCTTAAATGCTATTATGATGATACTCAATTTGCAGATACTGAAGACACATTTGCTCAAATTGGGCGCCCGACRTGCCAGGCATTTGAAGGGTCTCTTGTTGTCTCTAGAATAACAAATCCCTAATAATTAGAGCTCATGCAATATTCTGCATCCAGGAATGTGAAAGCTCTTCATAAAAGCTAAGGCGCTGTCAGGCTCAGTTCACAGAAGGGGAGGCAGGGATGCGGCAGCAACAGCCAACCCTGGAACCAGGCAGGAGTTTGCACAGAGGCCTCGCCAAATAACATTCGCCCACTGGGGCTGAACGTGGAGTTTAGCTCCAAAATGCTGCACATGATTAGGTAGCAAGAGTCTGTAGGCTAACAAAGCTAGAGCATGTTTCAGAGTTTGTTTATGCACCAACACTGATGCCCAGGCCCCAGCGTCCTCCTTGGCAAACGACCTATCAAGATGCCTCCAGACAGCCTTGCACAAGAGGTTCCCAGCAGGAACCTGCCTGCGCAAGACAATCACCTGTCCCAAGGCTATTGCCATCTGCCCTATGCTTTGGGACCCCACCGATGTGCCCAAGTGGTCTGTGTCCTCCTCAGGTTGGAGATGGGAGGAAAGCACMGAGTAGGGAACCACCACTACGGTGGTTGCCCGTGCCTCTGGAGCACACGTGGCCCWCAAACATCACAGAGCTGCTGCCTCCAGGGTAGCAGGAGAGGAGCCTGCAGGCTGTTTGCAGTGCCTGTTGCTGATGTTTGCTATCCCTCACGGGCACTGTGGCTCAGGGCACGCAAAACCTCCCAAGACCCTAAAGACAGGGAGGGATTTCAGGGTCTGACACAGCTGCACGGGATAACTCCCAGCAGTTTCCCCTTCATATGCAAGCACTGTCTGACTGGAGCAAGCCACAGGGCAGGATGGGGAAGTGGCGACGCRCTCACAAAGGTGGGGAGGAGAAAAACTCTGAGCAAACGCGTGGTGCAACTTCCTAGGATGGTAGGTGCAGGATGGTAACACAGGAAAAGCTTCAGCATCCAAGCACGTAAGTGCCGGTCATGGTCTCAAAGAGCACCCACAGGCGRTGGCACTGCGGGTCAAGCAGCGATGGCTCTGGGGCCTCACACTTGGAGGAAACCCTGTAGGACCACATCTCTGCACAGGGCTGTGGGGAGCGGAGCAAAGAGCTCTGCAGAAGGACCAAGCGACCAGACTGGCSCTTCCCCCGACGGGCTGACTGGGACGCGAGGCCGGGGAGGGAAGGTGAACTCGTTAGACGAACTAGCAGGGAGGAACTGAAAGCAGCCGGCGTCGAACGAGGAAGCACGAGGCCAGAAGAAATCAGTTGCGGGGGTTTATTAAGGAGACGTTCTTGCGGTGAATTTTTGTGCAACGTTTTTCTCACTGATCTCAGCACAGAAGAGAGAACCACCGGTGCCAAAGGGGAGTGCCAACAGCACCGAGGGAGCTCGTGGATAGACCAACAACCCCAAGCACAGCCAATTGCCTGGCCCATCACCCACATGCCCCGYGCCCTTCAACTTGGCACCTCTTCCCTAATGCTGCACTTTCCTAGGGACTACTGGCTTGGGCATAGTAAGCAAGAGAGCACCAGACCACAACAAGCCAGAGCTCAGTTCCAGCTGTGTGATGCTGTCCAGGAATAATACTTTAGGCAGATTAACTTATTTATTAAATCTCTTCAGGGATAAAGCAAAGCAGCTGCACTCAATTTACATATCTAAACATCGGTTTGCCTGCTAATATGCAAATGCAATGCCCATTTCTTCCATGTAAACTCTGGTGGCCCTGGTGACGAAGCACACAGAGAAGGAAGAGATACTGAATGCMTTCTCTGCTTCAGTCTTTACTGCTAAGACCAGCCCTTGGCAATGCCAGGTCCTGGACACCAGTTAAAGCTCTGGAGAAAAAGAGACTTTCCCTTGGTGGAAGAGAAAGATCAGGTCAGAGATTGTTCAGGTAAACTTGACATTTGCAAGTTCTTGGTTGCTGGAAATGTCACCCTGATCTTCCAAAAGGAACAACAAAGAGGACACAGGGAACTACAGGGCAGTAAGGTCACCTCTGCCTCTGGAAAGGTGGCGGAACGGCTCATGCTGAACACCATTTCCAAGCACGTGAAGAATAAGAGGGTGACCAGGATCAGGATGGGTTCATGAAGGGAAAATCATACTCAGCCTCCTATGACAGGACAGCCAGCTGGGCTCATGATGAGAGAGCAGTGGATGTTGTCTACCTTGACCTCGGTAAGGTTTTTCACGCTGTCTTCCATAACATCTTCCTGGGCAAGCACAGGAAGTGTGGGTTAGATAAGGGGACAGCAAGGTGGCTTGAAAAACTGCTGAAAGGCAGAGCTTAGAGCATTGTCATCAGACACAGGGTCTACTTGGAGGACAATAGATAGAGATGTCTCCCAAGGGCCCATACTGAGTCCTGTGTAGGTGCTGTTGAACGTATTCATCAGTGTGAGGATATATCTTCTCGACTGTGAGGATGGCTGAGCACTGGCACAGGTTCCATAGAGAGGTTTCCACTGTGCAATTACGGGACATCCGGGCATGGAGGTCAGGTCCTCCTCCCTCTCACAGTCAGGGAAACTGACAMAGGGGCAGGCGACTATCTCAAGCAGAACAGGGACAGAGTTCAGCAAGGTGGCAGCATCCCATGAAGCCCATTGATGTGATGAGGCCTGACAAACCTGCTTTCGCACCACTGAGAGGCTGGAGAACCAAGTTGCCGTGCTGAAAACATCACCCTCGAGGCACAAAGAGCCTCATTCATGGCGTACAAACCTACTCTTCATTTCTAATGCCTTGAGGTATTCCTGTGCTAGCTGSAACATGCTCCTCTGGGAGTTTATCTTTTCCGCCTGACCCAGCTGCCATTTCCAACCTTAGCTCCCAACAGCTGTGTTTTGCAGCACGATCTCACAGACGGACAAGCTATTAAAAGCTTCCTGCTTGTGCCTCTGCTTGGGGAGTGACTGGTGGGTCACACTCCAAGCRGTCAAAGAAGCATGGATGAAAGGTCCATAGAAGCAGGCCCAACTGTTATCCTTCTGCATCCTTTCTGAGGATGCAAGAGATGGATGGAATGGCCACGTCCTCTCAGACAGGAGTCCTCAGATAACTAGAGATCTTGACCGACATGAGTGGTAGGGCACAAGTACAGCAAAAGCTGTCTCTGGCCTTCTTGCTGGACCCCAGCAAATTCAAGCAACTCGTTCCCTTTGAATGTGCTTATGGCAACTGGACTCACATGAGAGACCTTGCTGGGGTCACCGAGACAGCGAGTTGAGGGGCAGTAGTATACGCTGTACCTGCTGTGTCCACAAAGAGGACATGGGCTGTTCCAGTACCCACATGCAGCTGAGCCAGGGGGATGATGCACCTGAGTAGAAACCTGGAGCTGGTGAGCCAAAACCCATGCTCATGTCTGCCTCCCACCACAACCCTCGGTGCAAAAGCTTGAGGCTGAGAGCTCCAGTTGGGCAAGAGATATGATGGTGATTTGTCTCCAGCAGGTTGAAGGAGGTGACCGTCCCCCTCTATGCAGCCCTAGTGAGGCCACATCTGCAGTACTGTGTCCAGCTCCGGGCTCCCCAGCACAAGAGGGATGWGGAGCTGCTGGAGAGAGTCCAGCGCAGGGCTACGAGGATGATCAGGGGCCTGGAACATGTGCCCTAGGAGCAAAGGCTGAGAGAGCTGGGTCTGTTCAGCCTGGAGAAGAGGAGGCTGAGGGGGGACCTGATCAGTGTCTAGAAAKACCTCAAGGGAGGCAGTGAGGAGGAGGSGGCAGCCTCTTTTYAGTGGTAGYCACTGACAGGACTAGAGGGAACAGTGACACACTGAAGCACCAAAAGTTCTGCAGGAACTTAAGGAAAGATTTCTTGACAGTGAGGGTGACAGAGCACTGGAAGAGGTTGCCAGGAGAGGTTGTGGAGTCTCTTTCTCTGGAGATCTTCRAAATCCGCTTGGATATCACACTGTGCCACATGCTCTAGGTAACCCTGAGAGGGGGGGTTGGACTAGACGATCTCTAAAGATCTCTTCCAACCTTAACGATTCTATGGCCATAACAAGGCTGGAGAGCCCCATCCTCAGCTGTCAAGACTTTCCCTGTGGCCAAATTACACCTTAAAATGGTCACATACCTTCTAGTTTAAGTAACCATGAGAAAAGAAAAAAAATGCAGGCAGCCTCAACCAGCAAGAACTTCAGCTCCAAACGCTTCCTCTCCAGGATCTACTAGCACAGACCAATCTGTGCCTAGCACAGAAGTGAGGATGATCCTCACGTGGGGAGCCAAGACATTGCAGCAATTCAGGGGCCCACAAGTCCATGCCAGGGAAGGCTGTTGATCATGGAGCTTCCAGTCATGAGAGCATCCCAGCATGCTAGGATGCTTATATGACAGTATCTCTAGAGACACAGATGGCTGCAGGTCCCTCAGTAGATTGAACAACGTCYTGATCCCTCTCCTGGAGGAACCTAGGAAAAACCCAGGTGCAGAAAAACCTAGGAGCAGATGATCCCGCCTGCTGGGGTGGGAGCCTGGTTTGGGTCTACTCACTGTCAAGCAGAGCTTCAGCCCCGCGGCAGAGGGTGCCCAGCACTGGAAAAAGAGCTGACTTAAAAGGCAGGACAAATCCCCTATCTTCCCTCCCCCTGAAACCCCAACAACAGGCAGGAACCAGAAAGAACTTGCTGAATACATCCAGCTGCCTCCCCAAAACCCACCTCATTACCCCACGGTTCCTCCAGCTGCAGATATAGGCCATAGACATTAGTTTAAAAATAAAACTCCTTCCCTCTGCCTCAAAGTGGTGAAGGGGAACACTCTTCTGACACGCAGCAAGCAGCTCAGATGTGTCTTCTGCCACATTTGCCAATTGACCATGACCCAGTCAACGGGGCATGATGGGTCCCTGGCTCTCAGCAGCCCAAGCTCCAAACCTCACAGGTCATACCAGGAGAGGGAGGCCGTGGGGTCACAGAGCAGGTTTGATAGCGACTAAAGCTCCCCACTGAAGGGGTCATCACAAATCACTCGCGTGGCTCAGCTGGATAAGCAGTGGCGGCTCAGGAGGACCTGAGGACCTTCTCTTTCCCACAGTCAACCCAACAGCTGAAGCAGGCACCTACATCACTGTGACTCCACTCTACGACACTACCTGCTTGTTCCCTCTTACTTTCTGAACCTGCGGCACTAACGAAGGAACCAATGCAAAGGCACCACAGAAGGAGCTTGTCACCACAAGCTGGATCCCACAAGGCACCTCCAGGTGCACTACAGAGCACACAGCAAGGTTCCCTGGTGCCTAGGATCTTGTTTTACACTCAAAGACATAGCAGGATCCCTCAAAGCTCAGCTTCTCCTCCCTGTGCACACATAACTGCAGCCCTGTCTCTTAAAGGCCCGTGCTAACTCCACATGCACTTCAAACCATTTATTAGGACTTCAGTGGCCAAGCTTCCTCCCTTTTTCCTTCCCCCCTTTGCAGACAGGGCCAGGCTACAGTGCAGCGGGGAGTAAACGGGAGAATTAAGGTCTCARCGGGAAGCACTGTGGGATGTTTTCCCCCAAAAAGGCAAGGACACGGCCGCGTGCCGGTTCAGGGAGCTGCTCCTGCAGCCCCGCTTTCCTGCGGAGCTGCTCTGCTTTCTCCACCACACCGGCACCCCAGAGCAGCCAGGCCACAACCACCCTATTGCACATCTGGCAGCAGCTGCAGCCACAACCCACACAGTGACAAGGACAAGGATAGACAGGAGACCTTCCAGTGCCCCTTCAAAACAGGGACCGGCTGCCCTGGGGAAGGCCAGGGATGTCCCACGTTCTGCCCGACAGCACTGGCCCCGTCCCCAGCACCCTCGCAGAGGAGGAAACGGCTTCCGAGACACACGCCCCGGCAGTTCTGCTCTGGTTCAGCCCATGTAAGCACAGGGAAGTTGCAGYGGCGGCTCTGCTCATGACGGCCCGGCACGTGTCACCGCCCCACGCCTCTACCCCGGCCCTGCGCCACTGTCCGACCCACGCAGGATCATCTCCCAGAATCAAGCAAAATAAAGCAAAATAGAGCAATATAAAACAAAATAAAGCAAAATAAAACAAAATAAAACAAAATAAAACAAAATAAAACAAAATAAAACAAAATAAAACAAAAATAAAGCAAAACAGAGCAAAAATAAAGCAAAATAAAGCAAAAACAGAGCAAAATAGACCAAAATAGAGCAAAAAAAAAAAGCAAAAATAAAGCAAAAATAAAGCAAAATAGAGCAAAATAGAGCAAAATAGAGCAAAACGAATCCCACCCGAGTGCCGGCAAGCAGACCCTGTCCCCCACCCATACCCCGTGGCGCGCACGGGCCACGCACGGGCCACATCTCCCCAGGGGCAGCACTCTGCATGGGAAGGTGGCAGGGCCCACAGACAAGAGGCCGGGAACAATGTCCCGTCCCTCCCTTCCCGTGGGAAGTGGGAGGGAAGGAAGCGGCTCGGCTCGGGAGGCGCTYGCACAAAGGCAAGCCGCAGGCGCCCGCCCCGCGCCAGGTTTCCTTGCCAACACGCTGTCCTACCGGCACTGCAGCCGCAGCCGCAGGCGGCCGTGGTGCTGACGCACAGCCCCACTGCCCCGCTTGCTGCCCCGCTCACCCACGGGGAAGGAAAGAGGGTCCCCAACTCCCCACTGCGATGCTCTGCACTGCCCTCGCAACAGGGAACCCACGGGCAGCAGCGAAGCGCGACCGTCAGCTGGAAAGGCTGCAAGAGCGCTGGGCCTGGAGGCACGAGGGGAAATAGGGAATGGGAAGCGGCAGGGGTTGGAATTCTTCCATGGGGGCAGCAGGGCAGGATAATGAYGACGATAAAAAAGGCTGGTAGGCAAGAATTCCCTTTTCAACTGCATGCTTGCACCCTGCTTTGGCCTCCCAGGGAGGTAAAATCATCTGAAGTAGTGATATTCCTAAATGGGAAAAGGGAACGGCACCATTCCTAGGCACAATCTCTTTCCTAGGGCCGCAGGGCTCTCTCTCTCCACTCAGCTAAAAATGGGAACACAAAAACTAGCAGCAGGAACAGTCCCCCAAAATCTCTGCTTTTAGCATGGAGCCACCAAACGGAGCTAAACGAGACTCCTCTCTGGCAAGGTCCCCAGGAAGCCTTTGAGGCTCCCATCCACACAAAGCACGGAGAGCAGTCGGCAACCYGCCGTGGACCTGCAGCCTCCAGCCCCTTTTAGCCTGGGAAGGACAACGGTGGCACGCCTTGTGTCAGGGAAGGACAACGGTGGTCCCTGCGCACGCCTTGTGTCTCACTGTCCCGCGTGGAGGCCTGATCAAAGGGCTTACTAGGCACTCACTAGGCAGCAGAGTCGTTGAGCTGGTATTCTCGCGAGCGGTTGAAGCAGGCCTGGACGCCGTTGTCAGCCCACAGCCTCCGGATCACGTTGGCAAGGTCCTCTGGCATGATGCCCTGCTCCTCCGCGGTGCAGGAGAGCGCGAACAACTGGCGAGCATCGTCCTGGCAGGGAAAAAGAAGCCGCCCTTCACACCTGCCCCGAAGCACACCATACATCCTAGGACCGCAAAACCCAGGGATTCATTCTGTTCTTAGGAGTGGCAATCTCAGTTCAGGTATGGCAAAGATCACCTGTCAAAACCGAGGACCCAACGCTCTTCTCCCTCCCGGCACAGTACTAAGGCACTCACCGCTCTGGAGGAGTCGCCAAAGTCAATCTGCAGGTTCCCCATGGCCTTGATGATGGCCATGATGGAYTGGATGGTGTTGCTGTAGACCACAGCCTTGTACTGCCGGCACTCCTCTTCCGAGTAGCCATCTTCATGGATAATCCTGGGGGCAGGGGACACACATAGGCAAGGTCACCATCCCACCAAGCACCTTAACCCCTCTGTCCCCTTCCCTTTGCTGGCAGTGATGTTACTAGTAGGCCACTCTCTGCTTGGTGGTGTACACCCTCTGCTTGGTGGCTTTCCCTAGCCTGGGCATCCTGCTGCAGCTGCTCCCAGCCTGGGGAGTGACATGGGCTCTTCTCCCCMCAGGGACATTGGCTGCAGGCATCATGGGGAGCAGGAGGGCACAGATCTGCTCAGCAGTGCACAAATACAGGAGCTGGCTGCTGTTTCAGGGGCTTGCGTGGCCTGTTGCTGCCCAGGACTATGGGTCTGAGTCCTTCCCATTAAAGGAATTTACTTTAGGGCAGGTAAACAACRGAACACAGCAAGAAGCTGTAAAGCTTGTCAGGAAAAGGTGGTGAGGAGCATCTTCCTCCTCTGTTGTGAAGAGGAGGATGCTTACTAGGCACTGGCACATCCTACCAGCTGCTACCTCCTCAGCCAGAACTTCAGGAAAAGGCAGCTCCAGATGTGCCAGGGACAGCTGGAKGGATAGAAATCACCCCATGACTGCCAACTGGGCCTGCTCAAGGGACATATGGGATTCAAAAGCACTTGGAAACCTCTGGGCTTGGAGCTAGTAGAGGCACGAGGGTCTCTCCAGGATGTCCTAGCCCCACTAACTTTGCTGGCACAGCTAGATCTGGGCAACCCAGGGCTAAATGAGAGCAGGTAGTCAACAACACAAACAAAAACACACCCCAAAAGCTCATCAAGGTGGCCTGGGTCAGATCAACTTCACAGGCATGGAGTTCAAATGCCCCCAGAAAGCTGGAGCCACGCTCCGGTGCCAGGCGGCCCTGGCCTGATCCTCCTGCCCCGTCTCAGAGCACAAGGTATTTGTTTTCACAGCAGCTCCCTGTGGCCGCTGTAACCACAGGCATCCGAGCCACTGAGGTCACCTTCCATGCCTGAATATTTCATTGGCTTGCATTGACCGGCAGTTTGCCGTCGGCTGCTGGAAAGGCCTGCTTGCCCAAGCAGCCAAGGGCTGGATACYGCCCCCAGCCTGCATTAATGCAGCATCTATAGTTGGGTGGCAAGGTTACTTGGGGACATCTTGAATAGAAGTAACAGGGATTTCGAGGTTTTGGTTCTCTCCASGGGGATGGCTTGGCCATCTCGTTTGCTCACAACAACCCTCTCTCAGGAATTCGGCTCTGCAGACCATGACATGACTGGGATCAAGGGATGGCTGCCCTGGGAAGGAATGACAGCAGCTCTGCCAAAAGAGGTCCCTGCCACGGATGCTGTCGTCCATGGGTGACTGCAACATGGTTGGAAATACCCCTTCCACAAGCGGTATCTAGCAGAAGCTTAGCTGAAACCCAAGAGATGCCAAACTGGATTGGCCCAGGAGGGTGATCCAAGCCTGCCTCTGCCCCTGGGCCCAAGTGGCTGCAACCTCGACCTCCCCAAGCTCAGTCCCAATGCGGCCAGTCCTCTGCAGGGATGATCCAGAGGGACATGACCACCTCTCCACATGGCTGAGCCAAGGAGATGGGGTGTCCTGGATGCTCGATCTGTCTGCCTGSTTGGGTCTTCCATGTGGTCCACATGCAGAGTCCTACAACTGGGGAGGAACAACCCCAGGCACCAGGACAGATTAGGGGTCGACCTGCTGGAGAGCAGCCCCGCAGAGAGGGACCTGGGAGTCCTCGTTGACACCAAGTTAACCATGAGTGAGCAGTGTGCCCTCGTGGCCAAGAGGGCCAATGGGCTCCTGGCTGCATCAGGAGGACATTGCCAGCAGGGCAGTGGGGGGGATTCTGCCCCTCTGCTCAGCTCTGGTGAGACCAAACCTGGAGCACTGAGGGCAGTTCTGGGCTCCCCAGTGCAAGAAGGACGTGGAGCTTCTAGAGAGGGTCCAGCGGAGGACAATAAAGATGATGAAGGGAATGGAGCATCTCTCGTATGAGGAGAGACTGAGTGAGTTGGGCCTGTTTAGCTTGGAGAAGGGAAGGCTGAGAGGGGATCTGATTAACATGTATAAGTACATGAAGGGGGAATGGAGAGAGGAAGGGGCCGAGCTGTTCTCAGTGGTGGCCAGTGACAGGACAAGGGGCAAGGGATACAAGTTGAAACCCAGGCAGTTCCATCTCCATGTGAGGAAAAACTTCTTCACTGTGAGGGTGACAGAGCCTTGGAACAGGCTTCCCAGGGAGGTTGTGGAGTCTCCTTCTCTGGATGTCTGCAAAATCCACCTGGATGCCACCCTGTGCCACATGCTCTGGGTGTCCCTGCTGGAGAACGGGGTTGGACTAGGTGATATCTAGAGGTCCCTTCCAACCTCAACCATTCTGTGATTCTGTGGTGATTAGGAAAGCACGTGGCACCTCCAGCTGGGCTGTGGATGTGCTTCTAACACTGTGCTGGCAGCACCAGCCTTTTCCCACGGGCGTTTTCCCTCACATGCCTATGGGGTAGCAGGCAGCCCAGTTTTCCTGTCACCCCAGAGTGTCCCCAACCCCTGCAGAGAACTCGGCAGCAGGGAGGGTGCAAAGGGGCAGAGATCCCAGGCTTACTCACTTCATCTGTTTGACGATGGTGCTCTTCCCGGACTCACCGGCACCTGTGGAGAACCGAGACACAYGAGCAGTGAGCGGCAGCTTGAAGCCGGGGCTCCCCCGGTGTGACCCCAGGCGCAGACCCCCCCAGATCAGCCCAGACAGGCGCCCAGACCCTGCTGTCCCCCTCGTCAAGGACAGGTACCATCTCGCATCCAGCGCCAGCGAGCAGCACCGCGGCACGGCGCTGAGTGGGCCTGGCACCGGTCAGAGGGGTTTTTAACGAGCAGAGGGGCTCCTGCAGATGCTGCCCTGTGGGGCATGGAGGCAGCTGGAGCCCCGCGCTCCATCCACGGTGCCTTGAGCTGACCATCGCTCCTCCCAGCAAGGTGCCACCACTGCCTCCCGCCAGGAGAGGACAAGGGTCAGCAGATGCTCTAGCGGGCACCCCGCTGTCCCTGCGCACCCAGCGGGGCAGAAACGGGGAAGAGCTGCTGAGGAGAGAGCTCCTAACGATGCTGTCCTCCAAAGGCAAGGCACAGTTCTGCCAGGGGCCGGCTCCTCTCTGCAAAGCCTGACCCATGCCTGCCGGGCCTCCTGCTGACGCACGGAAAGCTCTCGCAATCATGGCTCTGCCCTCCCCAGGAACTGCTGGAGCTCGGCGTACCGAGCTGTGGCACATTCCCAGCCGCTCTTCCTATTTCCCTAGTGCAGGGAGGAAATCCAGGCAGGTTTTCCCCTCCTCTCCATCCGCTTACAGTGTTTTCTTGCCAGCAACATGTGTCATCGTCAGCTCAAACCAGCCACACCACCATGGTCTATGGCAAGAGGGCCGGAGGACCCTCCAAAGACGGCTGGCAAATGCTCTGCTGTCACTGAGACAAGGGACAGAGCAGAGCCAACCTATCTTCCCCGGCCAGGGCTACCCCAAGCCTGTCCTAAGCCCCAAGCCTGTCCTAAGCTTTATCCAGACAGCAAGGAATGTCAAAGAAACACACAGGGAAAAGTGAGCTTTTGGATGATCTTGCAATAGTGCCGGAGAAGAGGGGTAACAGGATACCTGCTCCATCGCAAGCAGGGCAGCAAGCCAGGAATTTTCCTTTGAGAAAATGGAGCAGCCTTTTAATGCAAGCCAGCGGGGCCCGCGGTGACTGGGCCATGCAGCCCGCTGGGGATCAAAGGAGCCGGCTCTCGCGCTGCTGAGGGTCAGCGCAGAGGTGGCAGCRCTCACGGCACGGCACGGCCGCAAAGCCGGCCCCGCGGGAACGCGGCGGCACCAGACCACCGGGAGGACTGCGCCCGCAGGGCATCCCCTGGGCACCCAGCACGCAGGGCCACAACGTGCCCTGGCCACAGAGCTTTGAGAGCTGCCGGCTCCAGCGCGGCTCTGTGCAGGATGGAGGCACTGGCCCCACTGCTGCAGCCTCGACAGGGATCACATGCGGCCGAAAAGAGCCCGCTTTCGGGGCTGCCCTGATGCGAGCCGCGTCAGCACAGATTCACCAGTGATCAAGCGGGACATATAATTAGGTCAATCTTCTAAGTGGCAGGTCCAGCTCCTAAAGAATAGGCTGCCTAAGCCCAGCCTTGCCATGCCCAAACATCTGCTTCCAGCAACAGCCCCCCAAGCCAAATTCCTAGAGACGAAGGCACCATGACTGCAGTTTGGGGCCACGGCATTAAATCCCACGGCCCCTTTCCCAGGGAGAGGGTTCCAGCCCTTGTGCAGGGTCATCTGCTTGGGTCCCAGGGTGACTTCGAGGAGCGGCCACAAGTGATTCAGAGAAGCCGTGTTGGCCCCTGTGGGGACGTCTGCCTGCGCTGCAATAACGGGTAGGGCATCGCCTGCAACGCTGCCTTCAAGCATTGCTTCATGGGGTGGCATGCAGAGCGCTACAGCCAGTGAGCAGGAAAATGAGCCCTGGCTTCCAGCTCCTCCTGCTTCCTTAGGGCTCAGCGACAGATGCCACTTTATGCTCCCACCACGTGCCAAGATGCCCGGGCTTCCCCCCACCACTGCCAATGGTGATGATCTGCCTGCCCGGACCCTGCTTGCACAAAGGGGCCTGAAGCAGAGCATTCCCGGGAAAACTGGGAAGGAGCCCCGTCACCTCCTCCAAAGGACTTGAATTGCTCCCTACGGTAGAAGCCACCCACAGATTTCTTTTTAAATGGCAAAGTTCTTGTAAAATGCTGGAGCCCGCGAGGGGAGACGCCCCTTCCTCCACTCCAGCAGATGCTGCAGCGTCGGCATCGCAGCAGTCCTGGCTCTGACGGCTCTCCCACGAGCTTGGCTAGCTGGTCTTGCGCATAGACCGGTCTGGGTTCAGAAAGCGTCTGGACCTCAACTCTGGGCCAGGTAACACGCAGCCCTCGCTCCCTGAGGGTTTCTCCCTCCCATTGAGCTGCAAACGGGAAAGGGTTAAGCCATCCTGGCCTCTGTGTCTGAAATACAAAAAAAAAAAAAAAAAAAAAAAAAAAAAAAAAAAAAAAAAAAAAAAAAAAAAAAAAAAGGAAGCTCAAAGGGGAACTGGGAGGGACAGCGTGTCCCCTTGCTGGGCAAGGAGCGTCACAGATAAATTGCCTTATAACCTCGGATGCCGTATAACATCGTCCCACCTGAGCTGCGCTTTGGGAACTGCAGCATAAGCCCCAAGGATGCAGGCAACAAGAGAGGATGGAGCCCCATGCCGGGGGCTGCCCAGAGTGGTCATCATCCCAAATACGGAGGCTTCGGGGCTGTGATCGAGAGCAAGGTGGTTCTCCGAGCCTCCGGACCAGGACAGTGCCACTGCCTGGGCACAGCAACCTCTCCTCTCCTGGCCCAATGAAACCGTTCTCACCTAGGGATCCGCASGTTCCCAGCCAACTTTCCATCGGGGGCAGGTGCTCCTGGCCCCCAGGCTGGAGCCAAAACCTGGATCAAATCCCGCAGCAACATAGGCCAGCCTGGCTCTGCCAACCCATCGCCACCCGCACACTGGGCAGAGCGTGGAGATGGGCACAGCACCAAGCCGGGCCCCCATCTCCAGGCTCCTTTGGCATCGCCGCTGAGCTGAGCAAACATCTGTGCTCGCTGCGCGCGGGGCAGGGGTGGCCTTGCTGCATCCCGTGGGCGCTCTGCCTGTCGGGATCTCTTCCACTGGCATTTTCCCCGCTCCGAGGGGTCCTTCCAAGAGCCCTTGTCTCCCCAAGAGCCAGGCTGGAGGGGCTGGCGATGCCCCAAGGTCCATCTGCACCCGTGGGAGCCCGGAGGAGACAAGAGTGCCGGTGCCCGGTTTGCTCAGGGCGCAGCGCTGCCGCCAGCCTGCCCCACACGCTGTGTCCCCAGCCGCCACAAACGATGGGTCCCGGTGCTGCCACGCACCCCGCCAGCCTCCCAGCCCTTGCTCAGGGCGAGCTCCGAGCTGCCCTTAAAGAGGGCCCCAAGCAGCTAATGGCAGGGCTGCCGCGTCCCAGGCCACAGAGCGGGAAAGGGAGATTACAGAGGAGCACAAAAATGAAGATTATGCTAAAATTAAACCTGCAAAAACAGAGCCTGGTATTTCAGCTGAGAAGCCCCAGCAGGGAAAAGGCAGCGGAGAACCACCAAGGCAATGGCAGCAAATGGGGCTTAGAGCACATGGGGCAAGGAGCAAGTGCCTTGTACCAATGCCTGTGGGGCAGCCACACCAACTCCATCCAAGCCATGCCCGTGAGTCACTTACGGACCTCTCCAACCCACAGGAACCAACCAGGGCATCGCTCAGCCTGCAGCTGATTTGGGAAGAGGACTTCAAGGAACTCCTTGGCCTCAAAGCGTGGAGCACAGCCAAGATGGATCTAGCAGATTGCTGATTGCCTCTTCAATAGTTTGCTTTGGTCTCTAATACTTCAAGGACCTGGGCTTCCTTCAGGTACAGCCATCCATCAGCAGCTGGTGTCACTGCTGCTCATCCACAGGGTAGAAGATATTGAAGCTGGGCTTAAGAGACCCAAGCCCACCTTGCCCACAAAGCTGGAGCCAAAGCAAGCAACACTGAGAGGCAACGCACATCACGAGGCCACAGCTAGTCAAGGCAGTTGTTCCCTTGCACAAGCCCCTTTTTTAGGTCTTTCTGCCACCAAAGGGAGAGGGCCAGTCTCTGTCACACCCAACATTTAGAGTTTGCTGAGGTTAGGACTATATTAAGGCTATAGAGACTCTATATGTCTACATTTATCGCTACTTCTCTGCTCCAGGCACAGCACAGTTTCCACAATAGGCAATCTGCAGGAGAATCTTTACTCAATTCCAAGATGAGTTTTTGATCACGTAAAAAAGAAACAGCAACCATAATCAACACAGCCCCATACCTCATCCTAGCTAGGCCTTAGACGAAGCCTTGCACCATGGGAGCACCTCTTTGCTAGGCAATTCCTGGGATGTCCCAGCCACAGATGAGTTTCTCATAGAGCTGCAGAGCTCCAAGACACTTTAAAATACCCAAATCAAGCCACAGCAATGCCCTGCTTAGTATAAGACCAAATTCAGCCTTGGTGTTTTCCCCAGAAACCAAAGGAAGCATCCAGTTTCAATAAAAAGGTTCTGCTCTGGAGTATGGTCATGGAGCTACAGGGCTGTCAGCAAAACGGGACAGTCCCCCCAGGAAGATGGGATCATGCCAGCCCGTTCCGTAGCGAGGAGTAGCCAGGACCATACAGGGCTCCTGCACTGCCCACACCATCACCAGTCTCGGTGATGGACCCTCTCAAACATCTCCAACCACTCGGTGAGCCAAGAAACCCAAGAAGACAAAAACTAATGCTCTGGAGCACCTCAGGTCAGAACTGGGGAGCAGAAAGGGTGCTGCAATGAGCCAGTAGAGCTACCAGGCAGTACCCACCACCTTGACTGGCGGAGGCTTTCCTGCGCGTGGGAGAAACCAGTCCCACACAGGCATTCTTGGGATGCCTGCAACACAACAGCAGCGGGGCCACACTTTGTGGTGCTCACACTGCCCAGCTGGGAAAGCTCCATGTCCAAGTGATTGGTTGATCATTCCCATTGAGATATTCAGTCCTTAAAAGAGCTGTACGGGATGGA